GAAGTTCTCCACATCCCTGCCCTGACTGACGTGGCATCTGCAGGTGCCACTCCATCTTGGCACACGCTCCCTTGCACATGGGGTACACTCTCCTGTGGCCCATTAGCATCGTGGAGACTAGAGTCATGGTTACTAGTGGGCTTTCTCTAGGCTCAGCCCTGTCTTTCTGAATTCTTGTTGCCAGCTCTTGACCAGTTAAGCAACCAGGGAGAGTCTGTCTCACTGAGCAGGGTTTGCCCCCAGGGCTTGGGTGTGAGGTCAGAGTGCTTATAAAATATGAAGTTGGGCAGTGTAGCATTTTATCATGGCTTAATTTTGATAATTCCCATCTTTGGAAATTCACATGTTCTGCACAAATGAAATGTTCACTTCTATCACCATGCATGTTCCCAAGCCTTAGACCTCAGGATCGGGGAAGGACTATGTTTTAATGAACTGTCTCTGGTGTTTTGTAAGGATTCTGCCCACTAAAGCAGGAAGGGCAGCAGGGCTCAGAGGACATGTTTCCAGCAGAGCTTTTGCATGGATACTTGTTCCATGGATGTCACTTTCCCCAGCTGTTGTGAGTCTTTTATTCTCTACCCAGTTTTCAGCAGGAAATATCACAGTGCAAGTGTCCTGTCTGTTGTTTCAGGAGCAGAGCTGGCGCCTGCTCCACTGTCCAAAGTAGCCCAGCGCAGAGGTCAGGGTCCTCTAGGCCCAGCCTGGTAGGAGAGTCAATGCTGCCAGCTTGGACCTGGCCACTCTGCTCCATGTACCACATTTCTGGGCAGGTCCTCCTGCCAGCTGATCAAGAAACTGGGCTCCTCTGAGTTTTCTGTGGCTTCTCACACAGAGGGGCTTCCACAGTAGCTGCTGACTGGTTATTGTTTAGAATAGGCAGCTCCTGTCTGAAAGAGGCTTGGTGAGCTTCTGTTTAAGACTTGAAAGCTTTCAGAGGTCTACCTGCTATCCTGTGGCATTACTTGCAATACAATTTCCCAATTGGCTCTTTCCTATCACTTTCTAAGTGGGGCTCTGCCTCATCTGGAAGTCTTACATTTTGTCCTTGTGAAAGCTGCCTCAGTCTCCCCTCTGGAGCAAACTTTCCTTTCTGACTCTCTCAGTGTACCTGTGCCTACTCTTTGTGCTGTATCTTGTCCCCCTTATTTTGTGGTCATTTCCCAGAGGCCAGGCAGCACATTGTGCTTTGCTGTCCCGCTGCACACAGGACATATAGTGCTTCCAAAGATGCTTCTTCCACCATGGACTCCGGAACCATAGATTTCAGCAGCAGCGTTATGTTATGTCAGTTTGAAATCTGCCTGTCATGCAACAATAAGATGTAAGCGGCAGAGTTCAGTATTTAAGAAGGGAGCCAGTTCTGGAGGTTTGTGTGAGGGAGAACCTTGCCCTGCTGTTTATTGCTTTGTGACCTTCAGCAAGATATTGAATTCTCCAGATTTCGGTTTTATCAGCTGCGGAGTAGAGATAAGCAAGTGCATTTCTGTGCACATAGAAAGGGCCAGTATTTTGTATACTACAAAGAAAGAAAAAGTGCTGTCAATTAAATGATGCAGTGCTTTCCATGGCTAAAGGTTTTCATTTTATACTTATTGAAATAAGTCTTTTAGATGTATTTAGGCTTTAAAAAATCACCTTATTTTACTAGAAAAGAAAATAAATTGATTGAAGTTTTTTTCTGAGGCATCTCTGTCTTCATATTCAGAAACCTTTGAAACACTTGCAGGTTCTAAGTTGTTCGAGTTGATGTCTCCCCATATGCTGTCATCCTCTGTGCCCTGGAAGTTTCTGGGGTGCAACTCCCTCCACTAGTACCGATTTCTGTAAGTCTCTCCACCAAACTGCTAATGCCATTCTTCAAAGATTGATTGATTGATTTATTGATGTGCTGATTGGTGCACTTTGCATTGAGCTACAGCCCTTGTCCTTTATTTTTATTTTTTGAGACAAGGTCTTGCTAAATCCCTATTTTTCCCAGGCTAGGCTTGCAGTAGCAATCCTCTTGCCTCAGCCTCCCAGAATGCTGGGGTCATAGGTACATGCCACCATGCCTGGCCCATTTGTCAAGTTTTGAATGATTTTACAAATCCATACCCACAGAAAGTTTTCAGTCAACAGCAAGAAGTGGTCCTGGCATGGTTTGTGCATTGAAATACCCAGGCTTTGCAATGGTCAGCCAGGCACTGTGAATGACAAGTGCACTGTGACAAGTGCGTCCTGACTTCCTCCAGGCTGGTGGCCCTAAGACACGTCTTATTTCAGAAGTGCTAAACTGTTAAAAGAAAGGAAAAAAAAAGGCTTCTTAAAGTTGGCAGTGTGGGGAATAACTTAGCTCCCAAGGCTCCTATCTGTTTTGTCATTATGGTTACAGTAAAGTCTTAAGAAATACAGTGGCATTTTCCTATAACGGTAGCTGTTATTTATGGAGCATGCACTGATGTGATGTATTTATTAATTTGTTGCCTATTTTTCATATTTAACTTTTTCCTATTTTTCCTTTTTATTGAGGTATGATTTTCACTTAGTGAAATGGATAAGTCTTAAGAATACTGTTCTGTGAGCTTTGACACCTGTCCTTTTTTGGCTGTTTTTGAGACAGGGTCTCACTATGTAGTTCACACTGGCCTTGAGTTCTTGGTGAGCCTCCTGCCTCCGTTGCCCATATGCTGGGATTACAGGGGTGTGCCATCATGCCTGGCGATGTCTGTCTTACTAATAGCCCTAACAAGATGAGAACTGTTTTTATCACTATAGAAACGTCCCCTTCCCAGGCTAGGCATGTAGTATTCTCCTTCCTTCCCAGATGACTATTCTGGAATCTTCTACCATGGCTCAGTTTTGTCTGTTTCAGAATGTCATGTTAGTGGAGTCTGGGGGCATGTGCTCTTTTGCATTTTTTTGAGCCACATCTATGTCACTGCATGAAAGAATTGCTTGTTGTCTTGTGATGCTCACTGGTCTTGGACTGTGTGGATCTTCCACCTTTTTTGTGTTTTCCTAGGGATGGGCATGTAGATTATTTCCAGATTTAGATTTTCATGAGTAAAGCTACTGTGAACTTTTGAGTGAGTGTGTTTTTGATTACATGTTTCATTTCTGTCTTGTAAGTTCCTAGAGGTATGGTGCTGGGTCACAGGACAGAGATCAGATTAACTTCACGCAAACCAGCAGAGAGTTCTCTGTCCTGTTGTGCCTGTGTTAGAGTTCTGGCAGCCCTGGCTCCCTCAGTGTTGATGTTTTCAGCTTAGCTATTTTGAGCCCTTTCAATGGGTATGTAGCAGAATCTCCACAGTTTTAATTTGCATTTTGTTGATGACTGATGATGTCAGATTTTCCCATATGCTTATTGGCTGTTTGTGTATCTTACTTTGTAAAATGCCTATTAAGTCCTTTTTTGGCCCAATTTTCAATGGTATCATTTGCATGTGCAGCAAATATGTTCTTCAAGTCTCTTACTTAAGTACTGATTTTCTACATGATACATTTTAAATTTTATTTAATTAATTTATTTATGTTTTTCTGTATTTAAGATAGGGTCTATAGGGTCTACAGGGTCTCACTACATCAATCAGACTCATAGTGATTCTCCTGTTCTCAGCCTCTCCAGCACTGGGGTTACAAGCGTGTGTCACCATGCCCAGTTTCAGTGGCAGTCTCAGCATACCTGGGGGCTGGGACTGGTGCAGTATTTGGTGTCGGGGAGAATGTTGGTCCTTGCACTTGCCAGGCAGGTGCTTAGGCTGCCGAGCTGCAACCCAAATTTTTAATTTTAACTGTTCTAAAATCTATGATCCATCTCTAATTATGTTTTATGTATGGTTTGAGATATGGACCAAAAAGTCAATATTCTTCTTATATAGTTGTTATAGTGCTATTTGTTGAAAATATTTTCCTCATTGATTTGCTTTGCACTGTTGAGAAAAGCTTGACTATATGAGTATGTAGTTTTTAAATTTATCTATTTTATTTCATTGATCTATTTGTCCTGTATGCTGAGGTCATATTGTGTTGATTTATGGTGGTCATGACTTTAGCCTTGAAAATGAGATATTTAAGGAAGGCTTTAGTTTATCTAGGCATTTTCTTTTACATTTTAGAATAAGCTGATAAATTTCTACAAAAGATCCTCATGAAATTTTGATTGGGATTATATTAAGTTAATAAATCAATCTGATGAAAATTGAAATATTTGTAACATTGAATTTTCTTATGTATATTTATATTTTATCTTTATGTTTCTAAAAACAATTTAAATCTTTACTTTCTCTCAGCCAGCTTTTTAAAAAGTTGTCACTACAGTGCTCTTACACATATTTCTTTAAATTTATCCATAAGTATTTTTGGTTTTAAAATATAAATTGTATTTTAAAAATCATCTTCCAATAATTTGTCGCCAGTATTTAGGTAGACACTACTCTTGGTGCTTCGTCCTTGTATCCTGTTACCCTCCATGTGCCATATATTTTGCTTAGTGTTTTATGGAAATCGTTGTATAATCTTGTAGCTACTTATGATTGAGGCATTATTACAATATTTTATAAAATGTGTCCTAAGTATTCTAACTTCCTTGCTCCATATCATGCAGTTTGAGAAACAGGAGGGCTAAGATTTTAATTTGGGTCTGGCCTAACTCCACAGCCCAGACTCTTTTGACCCTGCTACTGCTTCGATGTTTGTTTATTGACCCGCATGAGATCCTGTGGCTTTCATTGGTCCCAGTGAGACATGTTTGCATCCTTTTCACAGGATATGAACCAGCCAGGGGCAACCTTACACAGACATACCAAGAACAAGGTGGTGAAGAAAAGGGTGTGATTCAATGAAGGAGAATAGAACTTCTTGGCTTCTCAAGAGACTGCTGTTAAGGGAGCTGTGCTTGGCTGCAGGGCAGGGTTCCTTTTCTTGTGCTGCAGACATGCCTTCATTGCCACTAATTCTTCATGTTCGCAGATGCTTCAAAGCCTCTCTCCCTCCTTCTCTCCAACTCTGTGCTGTAGGAAGCCATTTCTGCATGGCCAAGGACCTCACGGAGCAGATTCGCACCTTGACCTCAGAGCGAGAAGGGCTGGAGCCCATTCTGGGCAGGCTGTGGGCACTCAGGTCTAGGACCGCCGGAGAGCTAGCCAGTGTGGTGGAAGACTATAGCCGGCTGGCCCAGGAGCTGCAGCATCAGGAGACTGTGCACAGTGAGTAGTGTCACCTGCGACCTGGGGGAGTTTGTTGGTGGTTTTCATTACATTCTGAGGTGAGGCAGATGTTCTGTGCTGCAGATGAACTCATTGTAAAAGGCATCCTGGAACACACAGCCTTCCTCCTGGGGAACGTCTTTGACAGGAGACCCAGAGAGTATTTTGGAATTACCTGTTAACTATGGTTTTGTATTCACATGTGACATCTTCTGTCTCCCACCCAGTCCTCTACTCAGTGTTTGCTAATGGCCTGGTGTAACTTGGAACTCTCAGTCTGTTGGCATGAGTCCTAGACACTCCCCTAACTTGACACTGTCTTGCTTTTGTCCCTTGCTCACCTTTCCCATCTGTACAATGATGCATCAACTCTTGGAAACTGGGAGGAGCCTTTGGAGAGGACCTTCTGTGCATGCTCTCCTGAGATTCCATGTGCCCTAGAGTGGTACAGACAGTGCTGGGGCTGTTGTGCCCAGGATCTGCATGTCAGAGGGGCTGATACATGATTCATGGGCTCTTCCCGCTCTTATCCAGAGAACTGAGGTCACTTCACCTTGAGGGCTGTACCTGGATGGCTTCAGAACATGCGGGTGCAGTCCAAACTGAGGCTGTGACAACCTATTTCTTAAAAAACGTGAAAAATTTCTGCTGATAAGTTTCTAATACACAGAACGAAATCAGTAGAAGCAAATTCAGATTTAAAATAGATGTTGAAATTTGTTGCCTCACTACTAGGATTAGAAGAATAACGTCTGTGTCCTGGGCAGACTCAGTGATGCAGATCAAAGGATCCTGGTCTACATATGGCGTGGGCGTATGTGTGCATGTGTGTGTGTGTGTGTGTGCATGCGTGTATGTGTGTGTGTCTCTACATCTTTTCCCCCTAGGAACTAGATGGTGCTGGAAGGCAGAAGTCAGAGATAGCATAAGATGATCACTAAACAAATATTTTTATTAGGAAAGTGAAAGGAATATATGTGTAAATATATATTCAGGCTCCCTGAACCTGTTCCACTCATCACTAAAGATCATTCTTTTTGTATTATTATCTAAAATGAATACAAAATAGTAAAAGCAAAAATATTGGAAACAATACAGAATTTCATCCAACAAATCAACAGGAATTCAACAATGGTTGCTGCATTGCATAATGTCGTCTTCACATAAGTTGCTCAGATTACCAGATAGAAGCATGCAAAGCTGGAAAAAAAAATGGAATGAATGGCTATATTAACATAGTTTGCCCATCTGAAAAAGAAATGAGGAAACAGAATACTGGGAGCTAGAGGTTGAAATGGGAATCTTTGAAAATATCTCACAAATTCATGTACATGAATGTTAGTCCCTAAAACCCAAATAACTATAAATTCAGCGAGCAGGAATTTGGTATGTCATTTCAGGAGGAATGAAATTTGTGTTAAAAGCTCCTCAAATTGGATAGAGAACGGTCTCTTCACAGAGTTTGAACTAAAAGGTGTGTGTTCCGTGCTTATTGTGAGTCTCTGGGCTGTGCACCCTCGCTGGCTCAGCCACCGAGAGCTTCTCTGTCTCTTTTCACTTTATAGGTCAAACTTTTTTTTTTTTTTTTTTTTTTTTTTTTTTTTTTTTGCCAACCATGTAGAGACTGAACGTCTGAGCCTAAATAATGTACTGAGGAATGATAACACACTCATTGCAGACACTGCAGCCTGGTGTATTGGGCCATGCAAGGAATGAGCGCTGTATATTTTAAGTGGATTGTTTAAATATACATGAACAATGAAAACGGTAACTTTTTCATGGTGTCGCAATTAGATTTTGACACAAGATGGGGAATAGATTATATCTAAGAATAAAGATGTGAACAGATTTGAGATAGTCCAGTAATATTTTCATTTGAATAGTTGAGTTCTGAAAGCCATTAATGTCTTTTTTTTTTTTTTAAAAAAAAAAAAAAAGGGCTGTGCAGTATTCTTTGAATCTCATCATTGTCACTTCTCTAAGTATTTTCAAAACGATGAATAAAACATAAACACATGGAATGAGAGGTTGTTACCACGGATGGTTCTCTGGTGCAGATGGCTCCCTGCGTTTCCTGGTGGATTTTGCTGTATCAGCTGCTCTTTTCCCTCCGTGTGGATTTACGCATGCTTCAGGCTGAAGCTAATTTTTAACCAGTCCAAGGAGACTTGACTTTGGGTGACCCAAATTAATAATACAGGATTGGTGAGAGTGTAGGAAACAAATAAATAAATAAAAATGATTGCCTGAGCAACTTGTCTAGTGAAGTGTAACGAAACTAGGCCAGAGTCCACATCCAGCAACATTTGGGTTTTGAGAGTTAACTATTCAAAAGGAGCTATGTGTTTAAATTGAAAAGTAGCTCAAGTAAACAGATGTAGTCTGCATGTGCACTGTGCTGTACATGTGTGTTTCAGGACTCTGTGATCTTAGACAAAACATCTCAAAATGAAACGAAGAGTTGAGCATTATCTAAGGCCCTTAAAATGTTGGGATTTCCAGTGATTGCAGAATGCAGCATTTGTGGGCAAAGGTAGCACAGCATGGGGAAGTGACTGTGGCGCTCAGGGACCAGACCTTCTGACCTTGTTCTTCTGGCCTCTTGCTAGGTGGTGTTCAGTCTCAGATGGCTGACCCGGCCACGCATCTGTTCAGGTCCAGCGGGAAGGAGTGAGCACAGGTGTCCCCGTATGAACTTATGCACACTTCCACTACTGCCACATACTTGTGGGCTTAATCTTGGTATATGGTGACAGGTAATTGTGAGGGTAGCTGGAACTCACCTTATCCTGAGCAGTCATGTGTCCTACTAAAGTTTTGGATCTTGATTCTATAGGAAAAGAGGAGATTTGCAGATTTGGGGACCAGTTAACACTGTCTTATAGAGAGCTCTGTGAAACTGTTCCACTCATCACTAGAGATCATCACTGTGTCTTGCCTTCTTGACTGTCCCTGGGGACAGAGTGCTGTTCTTATGTGTCATTGTATCACTTTAGGGTTTAGTATGGTACATCCTAAAACAGTCAGTGCTATAGATATGTGTTTCCTGGGGCCAGATGATTAACAAAAAATATGAGTCTTTTCTTCTTTATCTGGATTGCTGTTCTAGACCTTGGGTTTTCTGCTTCTTTTAAAAAAATTTTTATTCATTTTAATGAGAAAAAAAGATAAAATTGTTTTTTTTTTTCTTTCTGTTTCTTTATTGCTTTCCAGTGTAGTGAGAGTGGTGATGAGTCTGTTTGCTGAGTTGTCTGAGTTGGATATTTGGGTTGGAGTATCAGCAGACAGAATAATATCATAGAGAAGGAATTGAACATGCAGAAGTCTAAGGGGGAAAGCAGATAGCGGCCCTGAATCTATAGGCCTTGGCCCCCTTGACATGGCCCTTGCGCGGAGGTAGAGGGAAGCGTGCCTGCACTCCCGCTAGTAGAGCCGAGGACTTGGGGAAAACACGCTGAATCCTGAGCCCTGGGAATTGAACCCGGGCCTTCACATGGCGTTGCATCCTCAGCCCTTTGTGATTTTATTTTTATTTATTTTTTCTCTTTTGAGACAGGATCTCACTAAGTCATTAAGCTGCCCAGGCTGGGGTTGAATGTGTAATCCTCCTGTCTCAGCTTCCGACAGTGCTGGCATTACAGGCAAAGCAGTTTTAAGTGTAGCGAAACCAGAATCAAAAGCTAAATGTATCTTCCACCCCCTGAATACTAATGAAAATTAGCTATGAACTTTTTGTGAGTGTGGATTTCAATTTTTGAAAAGAAAGTAGGGTAATAAGATCAGTAGCATTTTTAGTGTGGGATAACTGCTTTCCAGAAAAGAGCCAACCTTGAACTTTAGATGACTGTTTTCCATCTTCTGTGTATAAATTGGTAATCTGTTGTACTTTATTAATATTGTTGATTTTGCACTGTAACTCCAATGTAAAGACAGCCAAAGTCAAGAAGAGAGATTTAATCACAGGATAATCAGGGCTAGAATTTTAAGTAGGACATCATTAGCATGATAATGACTTTCCCCCTGTCCCCCAGCTGCCCAAGTGGAGCAGCCACTGCAGATGAAGCTCACATCCTCAGCCCGGAGCCATCCAGGTTCCCAATAGGGAACCATCAGCTGCTTAACAGGATTCTCACTGAGAAGAGCAATGTCAGTTTCCCATCTTGGGGAATGTTGATAGAGATTGTGTCCAGCCCACTCCACTGGCCTCTTAGTGGCCAGGGAAGATGGAAAACAGATAAGGGTCACTTAGGGGGACCCGGGAGGGGAGGCAGCTTTGTGTGGATGGGAAAGCTGCTTGGGATTAGCAAGGCCTACAGCAAGGCCTTAGTGGCTTTTGCTTGGGATTAGCAAGGCCTACAGCCACATGGATATGATCCTACTGTTCTTGTAGACTGCTGCATATGTTTTGAGCTCAAAATAGTTCATAAAAAGGGGTATGGGGAGCTGGGGAGATGACTCGGTGACCTAAGCTCCTGCCTGGCAAATGCAAGGACCCAGGTTTGATCCCTGGTACCACATGCTGAGCCTGCCCGGAACCCAGGCATGCTGTGCTAGCCCCAAACTGGGTGTGGTGGTGCGCACCTGTAATCCCATCGCTGGGGAGGCTAAGATAGGAGGATCACTATGAGTCTGAGCTGCATAGTGAGACCCTGTGCCAAATAAATACATAAATAAAAGATTAAAAAAGAAAAAAAGAGGTATGATGCTCAGAGGGGAGGAGAAGCTCTGAAATCCTTCTTGCATAAGCCACTCACACATGGGATAAGCAGCCTTCGGTTTAGAGACCCAGAAAATTACAGTTGTGCATGTATAGACGGTGGCCTTCCCTACATTTGATAAACGTAGAAGAAACTTTCCAATACATTACAACAAAAGAACTGAATGTGCTTTTTTGTCTCTCTTTTTTTCTTGATAAGGGTAAGAAGGAACAGTGAACTGGAAAGTTCATCAAAGGTCAAAACGGAAAATTAACGATAAAAGTAAAAATTTAAAAATGGAGA